CAGCCCCAGGCCACCCCGCCAGCTCTGCAGATACCTGTGTCGTTTTGCCGTTGGCTCTGCTCACGTGCACGTGCGGTGCGCCTGCTCTGTGCCTGGCTGGGGCTGGGGGGCGCGGGTGGGGGTCTCAGAAGCAGTTTGGCTCTTTCCGGGAGCTCCCAGCAGACAGGAGAGACCCCAGTAAAGACTCCTAATCACCGCTGAAAGGGCTCGCCCGCCCCTCCCCACTCCCTCCAACAGGCGCAGAGCTGGGAACCGAAATTGTCATCCGGTGACAAAGATTGTAGGCCAAGAGGGATGGGAGTGGAGACAGGAAGAGCCTGGGGTCCGCCAGGGCCTCCCTGAGCAGTGGAACCAACACCAGTACCACCTACCTCCAGGCTTCTTGCTAAGTGAGAAAAAAAAAAAAAAGGTTCATTTGTTGTAGACGATGTTTGCTGGGTTTGCTGTAACTTGCCTCCAAGATCATTCCTAATTTATAAGCTCATGTACTGGCCCACAGAGGAGATCTGAACACATTGTAGAAATTTAAAGCACTGAGTCATGTCCTAAACACTGCAGGTCTTCTCCTAGGTGCCCTCAGGTGACTCAGAACTGACCACTGCCTCCTCCATGTCCCCTCTCCTGACCGTGGCCATCTCTTGCCCAGAGCACTTCACCCCGTTGCCATATACACATGTGGCACCCCATCAGGCTGTGAAATCCTGAGCCCTAGGGCCCAGCACGGAACCAGCGTGGGGAGGAGATCAGAGGCTGTTTGAACCGATAGATGAGGTGCCTGAATGCATGGGATCATCCTTTCCCATCCTGGGAGTCTGTAAATCTTAACTGAAACTGGGGATAGTGTGGGCAAAGTTGGGAATTCGGCTGGTGGTGAGCCAGGAGGCTGGTCCCCTGGGGAATGAAAGGCCCTGACGTGTAGCATTTGCCAATTTCCTTGGTATAAATATTCCCACCATAGCCAGTTTCAAACTGCCAGATGTTCAAACACCAACTCACAAAACTGCTCGAAAATTTAACAGTTGGTTCTTGCAAGCCAGTACAAGCCAGCTTTGGCACAGAGCTTGTTCCCACTCCCTTCCTTCCTTCTTCCCCTCCCTCCATTCTTTCCTCCTTTCTCCCGTTTCCTCCCTTCCTCTGTCTTCATTTTCCTCCTCAAGCATTTGCTGAGGCCCCACCAGCGCCTCTCAGGAGCTCTCTGGGAGCTGGGCCCCTGGTGGCGGTATTAATCACTGGGCTCTTCTGGTGGGGCAGATGATCCTGTCCATAGAAACAACACAATCATTCAATAGACCTGAACAACTGTACTTTGACGGGGAAGACACAGTGGTCAGAGAAGGGGCTCCTGCTCTAGCTTTGGGGGAGGCAGGACAGCCTGGAGAAAGAAAGGGCCAACTTCAGTGAGACTCCAGAAAAACGGAGCTTTGCCCAGCAGAGGCTTGTGGATGGGGAGGGTGCCACTCCCAGCAGGAAGACCTGGGGAGTCTGGACGTCTGTGATGGAGACGGGGAGGAGAGGGTGCAGGGGCTGGGCAGTGCCAATACAGTGAGGAGCTTGGCCTTGGTCCCAAGGGCAAGGTGAAGCTATTTCTTTTAAAGTGGGGCACAGGCAGATTGGCATTTTAATAAGCTTCCCCCGAGTGCAGAGAGGAGGTGGGGCAGGCAGGCCGTGGCCCATCGTGGTTGAGGGAGAGAGAAGGATGCAGGCGGCATCGCTGAGATGGCCGTGCTGCTGGCTCAGGACCACAACAGGCACGGCTGGGGTGGGGGCAGGAGGGTCAGCCAGCCCCTGTGTGGATGTTGGTACCTTTTTCCAAGATGGGGGTGGGGGGTGGGAATGGGAGGAGGAGCAAGATCTGGGGGAAACAAGAAAGCTCTGGCCGGCCTGGGCCCTTATCTCCTCCCGGCTTCTCCCCTTGGGAAGTTCTGTTTCAGGACCACAGCCTGTCATCGGCTTAGAAGGGAAATGAATGAGAAAATGATCAGATAGGTGCTGGCGGTATCTGTGTGTGAGTGAGGCGTTGGGGAGCTGAAGGGTCCCAGCATGCTGGGGTGCTGGGAGGGTACCCCTTGACACCACTAGGGAATGCAGGAGCCCCCCGCATGAGACACGGAACAGCTCCAGGCTGAGAGGACTTTGAACATCAGGGAGAAAAATGGGTCTGAAAGTGAGCAACCTGAGCTGGGACCCCTTGGCCAGGCTCTGAGATGCGCCCCCGCACCCTGCATTTGGGGGTGGGGAGTTGCAGGGGTGGTGGGAAGGCCAGCTCTGGGCTGTTTTCCTGGACACACAAACACAGCCATTCCCCAGGCCAGACAGGTACACAGGATTAATAAGGCCGGCACACTCTCCCAGGGTGGCGGGGGGGTGGGGGGGTGGGGGGGTGCAACTGATCTAGCCTCGCGGACAGAACCATCAATCACAGCCCCTAATAGCTCTGCAGGCTGTTGCTCCCCCCACCGAATTTAAAACGAGGATGCAGGCCGCCGGCGGCAGGAGGATGCCGCAGCCCTTAACCGCCGTAATTATGAAGTCTTCATGGAAAGAGATGCTTATCGTATATGTTAAGTGAGCAGAGCAGGAGACCAGATGCCCTGCCTGTGTGCGCACAGCCGTGGGCATAGACGCCTGCCTGGAAACAGGGGCGGGGGATGCGCAGGAGAACTGCTGCTTCCAAGGTGGGGACCGGAGGGGACAGTCAGGGGCCCTTGAACAATTCAAAACCACACTTAGTAACATCGATGCCTCATCCTTTTATTAAAAATTGTACCTTCTTTTTCTGATTACAATAGGGGATCAGCTCACTGTAGAATCAGTGGGAAGCATACAAGTACAAAGAAGAAAATTAAAATCCCGTTGAGTCCCCATCCGGAGGCAGATCACTGGAGTGAATGTTCTGCAGTGGTTTTGTTCCCACAGCTCTGTGGCTGTCTGTTTGGTTTGGGTTGTTTTTATGCTTTGGAGATGATTCATTGTATTTTTAATACATATTTTGAAGTAAGTGACCAGTCTCAGATGTGGGGCTGGAATGATCATGTAAATTCTGTCTGACCAGTAAATCCAATATACGAGGGGAGATAGGAAAAGAATTTACACAGAGAAAATCATTATAAACCCCTGGCCCCTGAACCTGGGGAGGTCCACCGTCTGTTTCGGGAGCACTTCGGGAGGCCCTCAGTTGTGCAGGGTTGACATCGGGAGCCATGGGGGGGACCCACCTTACCCTGGGCTCCACAGTCCCGAGATGCAGTGATAGCGCTGGTAGAAACGCTGAGGGTCCCTGGGACTTGCAAGGGTCTGATAGAGCTGGAAGCTCCCTTCCAACTGTGGTTCTCTGTGACTTAGAAAGGCAGGGACCTGCTGAAGGTTTGTGATGCCTTAGTCCTGGAAAGGTATTCTGGGTTGGAAGTGGGGGTGGGTGCAGGGGGGACAACTTAAGCAAAACCATGAAGGCCTGACTGCCCCTAGTCCAGCTGGTAGGGAATCCAGGTTGCTTTTTTTTCCCCTGGTGCTCTCCAGCTTGTGTGCCCAAGTCCCTCTTTGAAGGAAAAAAACTTGTTTTCCGTGATGACTGCCCACTCTTCCTTCAAGCTCCAGTGCCACTTCCTCCAGGAAGCCCTCCTTGGTTTCTTAGACTGAGACAAGCTCTCCTACTCCAGGCCTGCAGCACTCACCGCTATTGAGACGCCAGAGTTGCGTGATTGATTGGTTCATGAGTGTCTCTCTTGCTATTCCCTCTACTAGACTCTAAGCCCGTGGCCCCGGGGCTGGTTTCCTCATGGTCTCCAGGACCAAGCTCAGTGCCTATGTGAAAAGAGGCCAGTGGTTGAAGAACAGAGTTCACAGTCTCCACCACCTGTCAACCCACTTTAGGCGTAGAGAGGATCAAGGGCCGGGCACTTGTGAACCCTGCTCATGAGAACCCTGCTCACCCCGTGGCTCTAAGCTACCTTGTTGCAAAGTTCTGGGCACCGAGAGGAAGTTTCTAGCGACTCCGACTTTTCATTTTTCTTTTTTTTTTCTGGTGACCTTTACATGTAATTAAAAGGCAGCTATTCCAGGAGACGAGGCAGCCGGAAGCAGAGACACTGCTTTCTGTGTACGTGTGTGGAAATTTATTGTCTGGAGCACAGAATTCTGCTTGAGGCGCCTGTGCCAAAGCTCCTGCTGGCTCCCTCAGGGGTACCAACCCCGGCCCAGGGAACATCCCCTGCTGCAGACCTACTGTGCGCCCAGCAGGATCCACATCTGTGCTCACTGACCCTCAAGCTGCCCCCAGTGTGTGCTTTTTTTTTAGGGAAACGGTTCTCCTGAAGGCCCACCAGTCTGGTGACGTCCGCCAGGTCTGCCTCACCTGGGAGGCACCCAGGCTGATGGGCTGTGCCCTTCCCACCCCTGCCAGATTTGGGTCCTTGGGCCTTTGTCCTGCAGCACAGAGGACCCCACCCCCACCCCACCGCCCAACACCCGGGGCAAAGCATAGTCCTGCCTTCTTGCAGCTGGAGTCTCACGAGGCAGCTCCTTCTTAGCTTTCTGCTTGAGGGGCGCCACCCTCACCCTAGAACTAGAGGCACTGTCAAGGAAATATGTGTGCAGCTTAGGGAAATGGGCACAGCCCAGAGTGAGGTGGGTGCAGCCCTCGCCAGGGAGAGCCGGGTTCAGATGCTGGCACCCACACCGCGGTTCACCACGTGACTCCAGATGAGACCCACATCCCCCGCCCCCGCCTCCTCCTCCGCCCATCAGGGCCTAGCCTGCTCCCTCCACTCCAGTCAAAGAATCCTGGGAAAGTTACATTCTGGACGGAAATCCTTCCTTGGCTGTGTCTTCCCCTCGCTGGGTCTGGGGCCCCTCTCTTCCTTGTGTGGCTCTGCTCAGCACCTCCCGGGAATGCTACCCCTCCCTCCAGTTGCTGGGTCCCTGGGCGGAGGGCCTGGGAGGGGGGGTCCCGAGGCCCCGGAGCCCCCTGCCCAGCCAGGCCTCCGCCCCTTGGCTCCCCTCAGCTGCAGCTGCTGAGGTTAATGAAGGAGGCCTGGCCCCCCGCCCAGCCCCCCTCCCATGCCACGGAGAATTGCAATTTAGCAAGTTCGTCAAATGCCGAGGCGGGGGCCCAGAGCCGCATCTGCGACATCAAGGCGTCCCAGCAGCACTGGGGGGCCTCCCGGTCCCCATCCGCCTCTGCACCCGGCCCGCTTCCCACAGGCCTGGATTAGGCCCCGGCAGCTGGGCGGGGGCGGGGGCCCGGGGAGCAGGGGGGATCCGGGCCGGGGGCCCAGGCAGCGGGGCCCTGGGCCTCTCTGGCCCATCCTGGCCACGTGGTCCCTGGTACAGTGCTGCGTCCCTGGGCTGTGGGCATCCCATCTTGAAGGGAGGTGGGGTCCTCTTGTCTGTCCGTGGGACCCTGGAGCCGGTGGTCACACCCGCGGCAGGCCCCCAGGCCCACACAGAAGGGCCGGGGGACGGCTCTGAGGGTCGGGGAGCAGCTCGGGTCACTTGGGGAGGGGTGAGTGGAGACGTCACTGGGGCCTCATCCGGCAGGAGTGCTGCGGATGAGGGCGGTGGTCAGGGTCTGTGCTGGGCTGAGGAGTAAACAGGGCCCAGGCTGGAAAGACAGAGGATCCGGGGCCTCCTCTCTGCTTGGAAAGCAGGAATGTGGTGCTCGGAGCAACCTACGTGGCCCATTAAGGCATCTGTGAGGTGCGCCAGGCACTTCCATGGCCACAAATGACCCCTCCTCTGAGAGCAACAGCACAGGCCTTAGGAACCACAAGGCTGAAGGGTCCAGTCAGTCACTCCCTCTGGACCCCTTGGGAACCAGAGGTTCTGCAGACCAGAATCCCACACAGAGACTTGCTTGCCTGCCGGGACGGAGAGCTCACTACCTCACTGGGGAGCCCGTTCTTTCCTGGAGGAGTTCTCATGGTTAGGAAAGAACGTTCCAGGACTGTACTTGGGCCCCAGGGCATCTGGAGGCGGCAACCTGACCCTCCTGACCTCTTTCCTCCAGACCAAGTCGCCAGTCTTCTTTTATCTGCTCTTTGCATGATGCCTGTCAGTGCCTGCCTCTGGACAGGAGTCATCTGTCAGCTTCTCCCAGACTGAGCGTTAGTACCCGAGCTACAGCCTGCAGCAGACTCTCACCTCCCTAGCTAGGAAGACCATGCTCCTATTAACGAAGCCCTCGGTGTGTGTGTCTGATGGAGCCATCACCCTGTTGAGTCCTGCTGAGTGCTTTGGTCATTCAGCGGGTGACAGTGGGTGAAGCAGGGGGCCACCCTGTGCCCTTGGGGAAACTGAGGGCCCGAGAAGAAGGCCCCCGCTCAGATGCACCCCCCCCCCCCCGGCCACAGGGCATCAGCAACAGGACTGAGGAAAGGACCAGGCCTCCTGCCTGCCCTTCATCGAGACATAGAAGGGCCTCCATCCACCCCCCACCCCCGCTCCTTCCCGCCTTCCTCCATGCTCCCGCCCGCGTTTCCTGAGAGCCTCTTAGCTGAGCCAGAGAAGGTGAGGCCAATGGCCTTCAGATGCTCATGATCACGGGTGGAGGGGTGAGTGCAGGACAGGAGGGGCCCGGGCCCCAAGTCCTGCGCCCTGTTCCAGGGAATCAGCGGCGCCGAGGGGCTTGGGGGCCGAGGTCCTGCTCAGCTGACCCCGTCCAGCTTGTTCTGCAAGCTCTGGGTGTTTCCAAGATCGCTGGGCCGGCACATTCCTTTCTGCTGAGGGAACTCCCGGCAAGCGTGGAGAGGCACAGGCCAGCTCCAGGAGGGTTTGTGGTGGGAAAAGGAAGGCAGCTCGCGTTGGCTGCCGGGCGCTAATGTGCCCCAGGTGCCCCTGGGTGCTGGTGTGGGGGTCTCTCCTGTGCCACTCGGGGAAGTGGGCACTGCGCTCTCCTCCCCTTGCTGGGGGCGAGGGGAGGGGCGGCAACCTGAGGCAGGGGGTGACAAGGGCTCCTCCTTCCGGGACTGTCCACATAAGACTTAAGTCACAGAGGGGCCCAGCTCAGCTCCCAGAGCCCACAGATGCCCGCCAAGCCCCCTGTCAGCGTCCCCAGCCCAGGGCGAGGGACTGACACGCCTGGGATTTGAACCCGAGTCCACGAGCCAGGGCAGTACCTCCACGGTTGGGGGTGAGGGCCACTTTGTCAGGCAGGGACTGCCTTTCCTGCATTGCCACAAGCCTGGTCCCCGGCCCGAGGCTCCCCGCGAGGAGGCGGTGGGTGTGGGGGCTATGGCCGCCCCACAGGCCTCAGTCCTGGTCCAGAACATTCCACGGTGGGAAGCTGCAGCCTGGCCGCCCCCAACCCCCACACCTCTGCCCCTGCCAGAGGCCGTGCGGGTGTCCTATGGGCAGGCTGCCGCTGCCGCCACAGAGGCCTGGCCGGCAGCCCTTGAGTTTCCACCAACTAATAATTTTTACAAACCTCCAGCCTCGTAAAAAAGTGCACAGTGGCCTGAACAACCTTGGCCGGGAGCCTTGTGGGAGAGAGGAGGCACGGAGGCTGGGGAGCAGAGATCTCGGCCAGAGGCCGCTTCCTGCCTGCACTCCATGTCGGTCCTTCAGGCTGCAGACCCAGGCCCTCCCCTGCCCCGCCTCCGCCACAGCCCTCCGGAGAAAGGCTGCCCTGCTAAGGGGCCCAGGAGGGTCTCCTCTGTGCTGCCCCCATGCCCTCCCACCTCAAGCTCTGGGCTCCTGGCCTGGAGCTGCCTGTAACCCATCCCTGAGCTCGCCTTCTGCTGAGTGCAGGCCGTTTTGCATGTCCTGTTCTTTCTGTCCTCAAAGCCTTTCCCTCCCGCCATCAGGGATGTGGGGATGGTAGCGTGTCCTTATCCCAGAGGGGCTCTCATGCCCAGGGATCTCGAAGGAAAGGATGTGTGATCCATGTGTGCCCCGACGGCCTCCAGACAAGGGGAAGGGGTGTTGAGATGAGAAGGAAGGCAGAGTGGATGCTTGGAGCCCCTAAGGCCGAGCACCCCTAAGGTCCTGGGAGCTATGGTGGGGGGTGCTCCTTGATGGATGGATGGGGGCTGGTTAGGGGGTGGGCACGCAGGCAGGGAAGGGAGTCAGGCAGGGCGGTGGGATGGGGGAGTGGGTGGGCTGGAGGAGGTTGCTGAGGCAGAATTTTCAAGACTAGAGATTACCTAGAAATTAAAAGATGCTTGCTCCTTGGAAGAGAAGCTATGACAAACCTAGACAGTGTAGTAGAAAGCAGAGACAGCACCTTGCCGACAAAAGTCCATATGTCAAAGATACAGTTTTTCTGGTGGTCATGTATGGATGTGAGAGTTGGAGCATAAAGAAGGCTAAGCCCCAAAGAATTGATGTTTTTCAGGCTGTGGTGCTGGAGAAGACTCTTGAGAGTCCCTTGGACTGCAAGGTGATCAGACCAGTACATCCTAAAGGAAATCAACTCGAATATTCATTGGAAGGACTGATGCTGAAGCTGAAGCTCCAATGCTTTGGCCGCCTGATGCGAAGAGCCAACTCATTGGAAAAGACCCTGATGCTGGGAAAGATTGAGGACAGGGGGAGAAGGGGATGACAGAGGATGAGATGGCTCGATGGCTTCACCGACCTGATGGACATGAGTTTGAGCAAGCTCCGGGAGATGGTGAAGGGCAGGGAAGACTGGCGTGTTGCAGTTTGTGGGGTCACAAAGAGTCGGACACGACTGAGTGACTGAGCAGCAACAAAAGAAATCACCTGGACCTGAGGAATGAGGGAGGTGGGCAAGTGGAGGCTGGAGAGAGCTTTCTGATTTGGCCCCTGATCCCAGGAGAGAGGGGTCCCAAGTCACAGGTGCTGGGTGTGTGATTCTGGGGTGCTTGGTGGTGGAAGGGTCTACGTGGCAGGTGGGCCCCAGGGGCAAGCTAGGGCCTGGGCTACAGGTGAAGTCTGAGATTCCCGGGCACACAGCCGGGGTGGGGGGTAAATGCTGGGCAGGATGCCTGTCACTAACAGAGGGTTGGGCACCAGGCTGACCCTCGAGGAGAGTCTGGGAGGGTCTCCAGAGAAGCCTGAGGAGATCCGAGTGGGTCCCTAAGCCAAGAGAAGAGAGTGTTTGGACAGGAGGGAGTGAGCCCCTGGGCGGGGGTGCTGGGCAGTGACAGGAGCCATGGGGGCAACCATCAGACTAAGCACTCTGAGGTCACGGGCATCCGTATTGGGGGGGCAGCAGGATGTGTGAGCAACACTGAGGTAGAATGGGGGTGGGGAGGGGTAAGCCCCCCGCCCTGTAACCCTGACTCTCAGATGAGCCCCTGTGGGGGCGAGATTCACTCCGCCCCCTCCTGGCCCCTCCAGCCGCTGCCAGGGACTCTCCGTCAGGGGCTCAGGTCTCTGAAGGCCCCAGAGTGGTCCCAGAAGGACTGAGAGGCGGCTCGGGTCTTGGACGGGGGGCGCTGTGACCCCCTGCAGGACGGGAGAACAGTTTGTGCTCCCCAGGCAGGTTTTCCCGCCCCTGTGGGAAGTGGTCAGGGACCCCTACCCTGGGGGGGGTCACCCCATAGCTCCAGATGGGGATTTAGCACTTCCGGCATGGGAGGCCCACTTTGGGAGCCTGATTTATGGGCCTGGCCCTCGGTGCGTGCGGCTCTGGCCCTTCTCTAAGTGCGTGTTCAATCAAATTAAAAGTGCCGGAAGCCGGAGGAGCCATCAATTACCTGAGTCTCTTGGCAGCTGTCCCCAGGCTCAATAAGCCTGAGGAGCTGGGAGCCACGTTCCTCCCCTCCCACCTGCAGGGAGGCTGGAGCGGAGGCTAACTGGGCCTCCGGGGGGGGCCACTGGCCTCAGTGTTCCCATCTGTAAATGGGCACTCTGGGTATGGGAAAGCAGGACTGGAGGCCCGTGCCCCCCGAATCTCGGTAGGGGGGTGTCTGTAGTGCTTTGCCTGCTGCCAAGACTTCTGGGGAGTCTTGTCCCAAGCAAGGGTCTTCCTGCAGCTGACCTCAGAGTCAGGCCCCCGGGGACCCTGAGATCCCGGGCACAGCTGCCCAGAGGGAGGGAGCCGGGGCCCCACCTCCTGTGCTCGCTGGGTGTCACTGCCCGCCATGCCTCAGTTTCTCCTCTGGACACCTCTCTCCAGCGTCAAAGAGGGGTGTCAGCGCGAGAGGCTCGACTCTGCTCCCAGCTTCAGGCATATTGTAAAAACCCGCTTTGTGTTTGTACCCCGGCGTTCACAAAAGCACTTGTTACGAAGGCACGACAGCTGAAAAGCAGAGGCAGCTCAACGTCCATCGACCAGATAAACAGATAAACAAAATGTACTCCATCCGCACAGTGCATTATGTTCAACCTTAAAAAGAGAAGAAAATCTCGACGCGGGCTGCCACCTCGATGAACCTGGAGAACATGATGCTCAGTGAAATAAAACAGACACAAAAGGACACATACTGTAGGATCCCACTTATTGAGGTACACAGGGCAGCCTGTGTACCTAGAGACAGGAAGTAGCAAGGTGGATTGCAGGGGCTGGGAGGGGGGAGGGTGGGGGGGGTCGCTGTTTAATAGGGACCAAGTTCCAGGTTGGGAAGATGAAAACATTCTGGGTTGGGTGTTGGGGATGGTTGTACAACCATGAGACTATGCTGAAAGCCACTGAACCATAAGTGGTTAAGACGGTGAAATTTATGATTTGTATATGTCACCACAATTGGAAAAAAAAAAATCAAGATTTGTATTTCATGAAGTGTTGATTAAACCAGTGTGCTTCACAGTCCGGAGAGCCTCACAGTCTGCATGTCATTCTTCTTTCCTCCCTCCCTTCATGCGTGCGTGCTGTCGCTTCAGTCATGTCTGACTATTTGGGACCCCATGGCCTGCAGCTCGCCAGGCTCCTCTGTCCGTGGGATTCTCCAGGCAAGTACACTGGAGGAGGTTGCTGTGTCCCCCTCCAGTGAATCTTCCCCAGCCAGGGATCAAACCCGCATCTCTTGCGGCTCCTGCCTTGGCAGGCGGGTTCTTTACCATCGGCTTCACCTGGGAAGGTCCCTTCCCTTCACACTTGCCGGTGAAAACCTCTTCCTTAGGGAGTGGTCTGAGAATGAAGCCTGGATGTCCTGGCATTCAGCCCAGAACTCCTGGGAAGTGGCTGGCTGAGGCTGGCTTGGGGAGAGACTGCAGTAGGTAGGGATCTTGGCGACACGCTTCCAGCTGGAAAACCGCACAGAACTCTCGGACGGCCATCCACCTTGCCCCCCGGGTCAGCACAAACCAGACAGTTATTGGCTGTACCGAGTCGTGCAGTCTCGTCGGCCCCAACAATATCAGATGCTTCTGAGACCTCTGCTGTCCCTCTGCTCCGCTGACACCAGCCTTCAGAGAACAAGCAAGCCGGAGGATGGAATTAATTTCCTAAAATTGAATGTTACGTCGCCAAGTCACCTCAGGATTTCTTGCCAGGGAGGAAGGAGAAATGGCCATTTGGTCCTCGCTGTCTTGATAGCCTGTTGCAGCTTGCACTCAAATGTTTAGTTTGGGGATGAAATGTATGAAATTGTCTTCTCTGTAGGGCAGAGATGATAGAATCTAGGCAATTTTATAGGGTTCTAGCTATTTGAAATAACTATGAGCATATTGTACCAGAGAAAAAGGGAGAAAAATACCTCTGCTATCTACTTTCTGGGGGATGCGGTATTCCTGAGATTCACAATAGATTATTTTGCATCCAGTGAATTAGCCAAATGCAATCAATCCTTGGACAACACAAGAGTCAAGGGAGCTGACCCTTCATGCAGAATCTGCATATGACTCCTAGTGGCCCCTCCGTATCCGTGGTTTCTCTGTATCTGAGGTTCTGCATCAGAGGATATGACCAACCTCAGATCAGGTAGTAAATAGAATTTACTATCAAAAAAGGGGACTTCCTAGGTGGCTCAGATGGTAAGGAATCTGCTTGCAATGCAGGAAACTAGGGTTCATCCCTGGGTTAGGAGGATCCCCTGGAGAAGCAAATGGCAACCCATTATTCTTGCCAATATTCATTCCAGGATTCTTGCCTGGAGAATCCCATGGACAGAGGAGCCTGGCAGGCTGCAGTCCATGGGGTCGCAAGGAGTTGGACACGACTGAGCGACTAAGCAGACGCAGCACACATCAATAAATCTTGCATCTACTGGGTTGACCAAAAAGTTCACTTGGGTTTTTCCACTATTAGTGAAAAACCCGAACGAAATTTTTTGGCCAGACTTTTTTGCCAACCCAGTAAGTAGACTTTCGAAGGTCAAACCTGTGTTGTTTAAGAGTTAACTGCATATACATTTAATGACAACCTCAGAGACACACTTGTCAGAAGGGCACCCGAAAGTGTGAAACTAACATGGCCCTTTTAGAGATGAATATGAAAATATATTCAAAGAGCTATAAACATGTTGATGCCTATTGGTCTTGAGACTATACTTTTGGAAATGTGCTCCTAAGAGACAACCCCCCCACACAAGAAACCCTGTACTATTAGTGGGAATGTAAATTGGTGCATACACTATGGGAAACAATAAAGAGATTGCTTAAAAAACTACAAGTAGAGCTACCATCTGATCCAGCAATCCCGCTCCTGGGTATATATCTGGAAAAAACAAAAACACTAATTTGAAAAGATATACGCACCCCGATGTTCATAATAGCACTATTTACAATAGACAAGACATGGAAGCACCCCAACTGTCCATCAGCAGATGATTGGGATAAGAGGATGTGCCCCCCCCTCCCCCTACACACTGGAATATTGTGTGTGCTGCGTCTGCTTAGTCACTCAATCTTGTCCAACTCTTTGCGACCCCATGGACTATAGCCTGCCAGGCTCCTCTGTCCATGGGATTCTCCAGGCAAGATACTGGAGTGGGTTTGCCATGCCCTCCTCCAGGGGATCTTCCCAACCCAGGGATCGAACCCAGGTCTCCTGCCTTGCAGGTGGATTCTTTAACATCTGAGCCACCAGGAGGTGCCACACACACACTCACACAGACACTGGAATATTACTCAGCCATAAAAAAGAATGAAATACTGCCAACTGAAGTCATGTGGGTTGACCTAGAGAACATTATGCTTAGTGAAATAAATCAGAGACAAATACTACAGAATATCACTTACATGTGAAAAGTAGAAACGAATACATATGAATGTGTATGCAAAACAGAAGCAGACTCAGAGACCTAGAAAACAGACTGTGGTCGTCAAAGTCGGAAGGGAAGGAAGGAGAAACAAATTAGGGGTATGGGATTAACAGATACAAACTACTGTATATAAAATAGATGAGTAACAAGGATTTACTGTATAGCACAGGGAATTATGGCCATTATCTTGCAATAACCTATAATGGAATATAATCTGCAAAAATACCGAATCATTTCACTATACACCTGAAACTAACACAATATTGTAAATCAATTATACTTCAATTAAAAAAAAAAAGAAAACCACCCAAGAGAAGCAAAAATGCATTTTCATGAAGACGTTCGCTGCTATGTGAGTCAGGCTCTGGAAAAAACAGACGTCAACCTTGACTTCCAACAGCAGGGGGATAAACCGAACCCCTAACGAGCCCTAGGGAAGCAGAAACTGGTGTCTGTTTCAACTCACAGCCGGGTGGTGCTCAAGCCTCCTGGGGAGGGAAGACACCACCCTTGGTGACTCTGGCACAGGAAGATTTTCCTCCAGACAATGTCACTTGGGTTGGTTGCCCTGCAGTTAAAATATGTCAGTTTCACTGCTCCAGAGTGGAAGCTTCAGGGACTAGACCAGTGTGCGTGTGTGTGTGTGTGTGTGTGTGTGCCTGCACACTTTTTTATAAACTAGAAAATGGAGATGGCTAATGAAACATGACAAGTTGAAAAAGCAGAGAGCAAACGTGGTCGTGCCTTTGACTGCGGTGGGCAGACAGCAGATGAGGCAGGCGGGGCGCAGTGGATCGGAGGTGGCAGGGCAGCGGGGATGGGGAGGGATCACACCGCTGCTTCTCCCTCTTGTCAAAGTTGACTTTCATGCTCGATGCTCGTATAACTCTTTTTTGAAGGTGAAAAGAAAAAGAAAGAAAGCTGCACCCAGTCTGTGCTCAGACTTGTGGGGTGGCCTCAAACTTCCCAGCTCTGCCAGAGCTCCTGTGATCCCTCCTAGGACCTCTCAGAGCCTCAAGGGGACCGAACCCTGCTGCCCCCTTCTGCTGAAGTGCCCCCCACTGCTGCCGTGACCCCACCAGCCATGGGGGGAGGGGACGGAGGGAGAAAGGGGTCCTACTGGAGGGGCTGGGGCTCGCCTCTGGAGTGCAGAGTTTATCCCTGACTGACGGGACACACTGTCGCCCCTACCTGTGCCAATGACATCTGGTGTCTCCTGCCCATCAGCTGTCCTCTCCAGACCTGTGGCTCCCCATGGGGAGGGGTGGGCTGACTGCCCCCAGCTGGCAGCCTCCTCCTGGTCCTGAGGTCCTAGGTGCCCTCCTTCCTCTCTGGATGCCTTGGGCCAGTCATTGCCCCGGGTCCCGGAGCCCGGGGTGGGCTGGTGCGCTCAGGCACGTGCGCGCTCTCTCGGGCCTCCTTTCTGGATCTGACATTCGATACCCTTTTGATCCTAAGGGAGATGGATTAGCCTCAAGGGAGAAATAGGAAGGACCTCTGTGGGGGCTGCTTCCCGAGAGGCTGCCAAGGATGGGGGGAGAGGAGGGACTGAGATCCCGGGAGCTCTCTGTGCTGCTCTGTGCTTCCCCCAGCAAGGGATCCCCATGCCCCCCCGACCCCCCAAGACTCCCTTGTGAGCACCGTGCCGGGAGAGGTGGCCGCGGCTGCTGTGTGTCTCAGGACTGCAGAGCAGGGAGGCGAGTCCAGCACACAGAACCCTTAGGACCTGTCAGCTGCATACGTGCCTGAGCTCACTGTCAGCCATGAGGAATGAAGGGTCCCTCTCAGGCAGGCGCCAGAGAGATTTTCCAGTGGCCTCCAGTGACCTCGCTGTGGCCAGCTCCGAGGGCTGCCTGGGTGACTAGTTCCAAGAGCTCCCCAGGAACATTTGTGGCTTCCCTGACACCTGTCCAGGCCCAGAGCCCTGAGGACACCTGGAGACGTCCCCGCCTCCGGCTCCGTACAGCCCAGCACCATCGACTCAGCTTCCAGGGCGCCCTTGACCATCTGCCTCTCCAGCCCCGCAGCCATATCCGCCAGTCGGCACCGCATCTTCTCCCGCCTGGACCACCTCCCACATGGCCACCAAGCTCAGGTCTCAGGTCCACTCTAAGCCTGGGCAAGCTGCCTAGAGCTCCACTCTGACCATGTCCCCGCCCTGCCCACGCCCCCCGGCCTGGCAGCCTCAGGGTACAGGCCTGGGGCTTGTGTCCATGGCCCTTTCGACTTGCCCCCCTTTCCTGAGCTGCATCAGTGGCTCCTCCTATTGTCCAGACATTCAGACCTTTGCATCCCCCACCCCACGCTACCCTCCCTACCTGGTTATATGTATCCCTCCAGAAACTCTGCTCCCCTGTCCTTTCCTCCAGAAAGTCTTCTCTGACCACGACACTCATAAAACTCCTCATCCTCTCTCCTTGTGGCCCCACCTCCACCCCAGTCTGAATGGGTTTAGTTCGGAGCAGCAGTCAGTTAGGATGAGTAGGCGGCAGTGAACGAGTGAATGAGTGAATGAAAGGGTGAGTGAATGAATGAATGAATAAATGAGTGAGTGAATGAATAAATGAATGGGTGGGTGAATAAATGAATGGGTGGGTGAATGAATGAGTGAATGAGTGAACAAATGAGTGAGTGAATGAATGAATGAATGGGTGAGTGAATGAATGGATGAGTGAATAAATGAATGAACAAATGAGTGAGTGAATGAATGAATGGGTGAGTGAATGAGTGAATGGGTGAGTGAATGAATGAATGAGTGAATGACCATGTGGATACTTGAGCTTAGAGGTGCCTCTGCAGGGCTTGGGGGTGCGAGGGTGCAGCCCCCCCTGGTCTTTCTCCCCAGAGTCCCTCATGACAATACTGGACTCTGCCTGACTCCTTCCTGATGCCCCTCTCCCCCAGTGGAAAGCAGAACTGAGGCCTCTGGTGCTTGCGGCAAGGCCATGGCTCCGGCCCTCTCCCTTTCGTCCTGTCAGCATGGGCGTGAGGCTGCATTGCCCTGGCCCCTGCCTCCCCGGCTCCGGGAGGGGGGCCGGGATTAATCATCCTGTTTCTGGAGGAAGGATGGGGCCTCGTGGCTGGTGAGGAGCCGTGAGGAGAGTGACCTGGTGTTACCCCCCGGGGGGGCCCTGAGGACACGTGGGGACATGGCAGGTGGGGACGGGGGGCTGTGTCCCTAGCAGGGGGCTACTCGCTGCAGGCTCCCCCTCCCCTGCTTCTGCCAGGTACCCGTGAGCCGTGCGGGGACCCACCCCCAGCGCGGCCGGCATTAGTATTCCCAGCACAGGCGCCTGCAAAGAAATGACTCACCCTCTGATTGACTAATTTGAAAGTAAGCTGTTTTTGCTGCAAGTGGGAAGGTTCAGTGAATCTTAAAAACTAAGCGATGGAGATTTTATTCCTCATTCTAGACCTTTCCTTCTGCGGGGAAAGTGGCTCTGCCACAGCCTCTGTTTATCATAATAGAAATGTCTTTTGTTGGCTCACCTGCAGTGGGGCGCGGGTGGGACTCGAGTCTCAGCTCGGCTCCCACCTGCCTCGTGACCTCGGCGAGTTACTTAACTGCCCCAGGATGCCAGGAACAGCGTATAATGAGGAGAAAGCCTCAGAGGAAACACAAAATGCGCCTTTGGTGGGTCAGGGAGGAGGCCCGGGGCTGCAGAAACGGGGTGAGGCTCTGGTTCCTCCTGTGGGGTGGTGGACTGCCAAGAGGGGGTGCATGCCCCCACGTGTCAGGGGGCTTAGGGTATGAGGGGGTATTTTCCCCCCATTTTACAGATGGGTAGCCAAGAGGCACAGAGAGGTTAGGTGACCCACCTGTAGTCACACAGCTTCTAGGTACAGAAGGTGGGATTACAACCCCGGGCCACCGGCTGCTGTCTGATTTCCCGGTTTCGGTCACCCCCTTGAGTTAGGGAGGTGGACAAGGGCTGGACCCTTGGAGCTGGACCTTTTACCGTTGTCCTGTGGCAGGTGGGGCATGAGAGATCAGATCTGAACACACGGCAGGAAGCAGGAAGGCCAGGAGGAGGCGTCTGAGGAGTGGAGACTGAGGGCAGAGGGTGGCCGGGCTGGGGTGATGGCAGAGGAGAGAACAACGTGGCCAAGCTCAGGACGTGCCTCCAAGGTGGACCCAGTAGAACCCTGGCATGAATTAGGGAGGAGACGAGAGAAAGGACGGTCAAGGGGCTTCCGAGAGACTGGGTCGCACATGTCATCTCCAGGACCCTGACGGCCTACCATGAACTGTCCACGCCCCGTGGACCTCCTGCTTCCCGTCTCTGACTCTCTTCATTAGACACACTGTCTAGGTGTACTGTCCGTCGACAGCACAGACAGGGCAACCTCAGGGAGAGGGACAGTGGCCGCCCCGCCCCAGGCCTCCTCTCATGCCTCCCGGGGATGGCGTGGGGACCGAGCAGGTCAGAACATGAATTTCCCAGACCCTGGGCTCTCAGGTCACTGTGTGTGAGGCCCTCTGTTTGCTCCATGACTTTGGGAGAGCTGGTCCAACATGGTGTGCCTCCGTGTCCGCTCCTGCACGTGGGGCTCCTAGTGACAGCTGAGTATCATGTGTTCTCACTCTTGGCACTTCTCAGCCCTTTCAAGGATCACAGTCACCAACTTCCTCCAGGGTTGAGGAAGAGAATGCATGCGCTCAGCCCGGGGCCCAGCACAGAGGAGGCACTCGGTAAAGATGTGCTGTGATGTTGCTTTTTTGTTGCTCGCTGTGTGTCTTTGGGCAAGCAGCTCTGCCTGTCTGAGATGCAGCTGGTTTTTGTCTGCAAAGCCATGATAACATGGTCCCTGTTTCCCAGGGTGTTCAGGAGGTCTTGACTAGGTGGCTCATGGAAGACTCTTGGCACGGGGCCTGGCCCCTTTTAAATGCTCCATCAGGGTTCACTGTGATGCTTGTGAAGTGGCAGGGCTGGGACTGGCACCCAGCCCGGGGCAGGCTCACCCGTTTTGCAGCACCAGCCTCTTCTGCAGCCACCTCACTTTCCCTGGGAAGCTCTTTTTTCTCCGGCAGCACAGTGATGAGCAGAAAATTGAAAAACTTCGTCAAACTAGCATATTACTTTCTCCCCTCCACCTCCCCCACCACCGAAACACAAGCCACAGATAACACCTTCCCAAATAGGTTTACTGAAGTCAACCCATTACAAGTGCGGACACGCTTGCAGATAACAGAAGCCTGTGAGTTCTTAATATCCTGCCCGGCATGCAGGAGGAATAAATGAGGGACGGAGGCGAGACAGCCTTGACTGCAAATATTCTGTCGTGTCCTTTGGCCATCCATCAGCCCGTGTGTCAGGCAGTGTGTCTGGCCCCGGGTTTGGGAAATATGGTCACCATAGGGATGGAGTCAAATGCATCCTTTCAAAGCAGATCTGCTTAAAATTCATTAACTTAGACAACTCCACCAGAAGAAGCAATCAATTCCTTGAACTCTATAATCATGCTTCTCACAGGGATCTTTTTGCCTCGGTGTCGGTTAAGCTAATAAAGGCTGTTTGGGTCCAGTGGAAAGAGAGGCGTGAGAGGGCATGAGGCACAGAGTCTAGCCTTGATGTTCTGTAGCCAGCTCGGACCCAATTACTTCCTGGTGTATTTGTCTCCTGAGTGAGTCATCCATCACGTCAGCCAGGGCTGGGGGTCTGCTCTGTCCCTGCTGGGCGCCGGGCTGGGGCCAAGGGTGCCAAGCAGCCCAGAAGTGGTGTCACTCACAGGGGCTGCAGTGAAGTGAGCAGGCGATTCGGGGACAAGTGTCTGCATTCACTCTCGGTGATCTCATTCTGCACGTGGCCATAAATCCCACTCACTCACTGACGAGTCCGGAATTTACATCTGCAGCCCAGGACCTCCTCGCTGAAACCCCAGACCCTGCCATCCCAAGGCCCACTCTGCATCTCTACCGGCATGTCCAATGGGCATCTTCGCAAACCAGCTGCATCCAGATGCAGCCAGACCCACCTGGGGTGCTTCCCGCAGCTCAGGCAGGAGATGGAGGATCCCTCTGAACTCTTCTTCGACTCTCACATCCCATGTCCAGCTTGGGAAGCCCCGCGGGGCCTGCTTCCCGAGACCAGCCAGACTCCAGCCGTGTCTCCAGGCCCAAGCTGCCTGCTCCCCAGCATCTGGAAGACTGTGGGAGTCCCTACCTGGTCTCCCTGCTCTGTCTGTGCCCCACCCCCCACTGCCCCGATCTCAGCCCAGCTGGAGGAACCCTTTACACATGTAAGCCACAAAGTCTCCTGGGTTACCCACTTATCTCTGAGACCCCCCAAAGTGCCTATGCCTCCCCTCCTGGCCTGTTACTCTCCGCTTCCTTCGCTCCATGGCAGCCAGCACAAATAGCTGGCCACGCTTCCATGCCCTCCCCAGGTCTGTGCACAGGTCTTCCTTCATCACCTTCTCTGATATTATACCCCACCCCCCCAGCACTTCCGCTAGCACCAGTCTCCAGCAGTGAGATGTCAGAGCCACGGAGCGGGAGGGAGTGGGGGGTGGCTCTGTGTGGTCCCCGCGGCGCACCCTGGACGTCCTGTGGAGCACGGTGGGTACCCAGGAAGTACGCAGGGAATGAACGAATGAGCGAATGAAGGAACCGTCTCTCTTTCTCCAAAGGCTACCCCCTGCCCCCTGCCCATGGCGGAGTCGAGCTCTCGGCTCCATCTGGAGGCTTCCAGCTGTGGCTCTTTCTGTGGTGACGTCTTCTCCCACCTGATGAACTGGACGCTGGCCCCCATCTGACCTGTCCCACCTGTTACTTCTGCCCCTTGTCACGCGTGGTGTGGCCACAGGCGCAGTCAGCTGCCTGCTCTCTGTGCCCCGGCCCCGTGATTCTCTTCCGGAAACTTCCATTTCATATTCCCCTTCCAGCCCCCGGTCTCCCTGGGACAGCCCCCCTGGCTATCCCTGGGAAGCCTCAAGTCAAATTCAAATTTCCTTCTCTTGCCCCTGCCTCCCAACCTGCTCCAACAGCATTGCCCCCACCCCATGGTCCAGAGGGAAATTTGGGGGCCCCAGGTGACTCCCCACTCACCATC